GCACAATTAAGTGTCCCATTCTTCTCAATATTAACTGTAATTTGTTGTAATCCACAGACAAATGCCTTTGCATTGTCACTGAAACACAAATGGATATCTTTCTAGTATTCTCTACTTTCATCCAAGATGTCAGCAATGATATCCCTGGTGCCCCATCTCTTCTAAGTTTAGCTTGAGTTTCTGGTACTGCTTTGTCAATACAGTATTTTAGCTACTTTCTAATAGGATTTGGAAAGATTTTGCTTGTATTATATTTGGTGACTGTTGTTGTTGTTAAGTGCTGTCAAGTTATAGACAACTCATAGTGACCCTATGAACTAAAGACCAGAAAAAATTGTATAATTTTCATTGTTTCTCCAAGTTCATAGAGTTTCTGGAGGCAAGCTGTTTCAGAAGTGGATGCCACTCCTGCTTCCAAGCTTGTTTTAATCAGGGAGCTCTACAAAACACTGTCTACCTTGGGGAACCATTATCACATTTGACACATCAGTATCACAGTATTTGGCATCACAGTAGCCACGAGTTACCTCTGTACAGCAAATGGACAGACCAGTGTTATACCACTTAGAAGCATGTTTGACAAAAAACAAGTAAAACCAGGCCCAAGGGCCCAAATGCCTTTAAAATAGGGAGCTGACTACAATCAATTCACTCTCAATGTCTGATAAACATTTCACCTATGTCTCACCTGGAAACAACATCAAACCTCTGTAGAAATAGGCTGCTCCAAACCACTTCCCCACCTGGAAGCCAGCAAATACTGCTGACCCCTGCCTTTGTAAATAGGGAGCCAAATACTAGAATGGAAAAACTGACATCTAGAAAGTACAGAGTTGGTGAAAAAAAAAATGAGGCTGAAGATTGAATGATTGAATTTTGTATGATCAATGATTTATTCAGTGCAAAAAACTAGGATATATTGTCTATACACATCCTCACCTGATGGACTAAACAAGAGTCACATTAACTACATCTATGCAAAGAATAATTATTTGAGGAGCTCAGTATCAGCAGTCAAAACCAGGCCAGGTGCTAACTGTGCAACAGACTATCAATTACTCATATACAAGTTCAAATTAAAGCTGAGAAAATGAAAACAAGTCCACAAGAAACAGAACTAGACCTTAAATCTATCCCACCTGAATTTAAAACCATCTCAAGAAAAGGATTGAGGTATGGAACATTAACTTTTGAAGGCTTGATGAGTTGTGGGATGACATCAAGGATATCATCCATAAAGAAAGCAAAAAGAACAAATTGAGTATCAGAAGAGGCTCCTTGAGCTAGAATGTCAAGAAGTCAAAGCAAAGGGAAGAAAAGTCAAAGTAAAAGAGATGAACTTAAGATATCAAACAGCAGCTTGATAAAACAAAGCAAAATATTCTAACAGAATGTGCAAGAACTAAAAAGGAAAGACTTTGCTTAGCATGTCTCAAAGGAAAGAACAGAAAAAACAAATTCAGGCCTTGAGTTCTAATACTGAAGAATGGTAAGGACAAAATCTTGAATGGTTCAAGAAGCATCAAAAGGAATATACACAGTCACTCTACCAATAAGAATGGACTTACACAGAACCATACCAGGTGATAACATGTGGAAAAGAACCAGTGGTAATGAAGGAAGAAGTTCGAGCACTGAACTGGCAAAAATAAGGTCCTAGGAATTGATAGGATACCAATTAATGCATTCCAACAATCTTATGCAGGCATGGACATGCTTACTAGGCTGTGGAAAGAAAGCTGCCTGGCCAAACAACTGCAAGAGGTCTGTATTTGTAATTCACATATCCATAAAAGGTGATCCAAGAGAATGTGGAAATTATATACAGCCTTGCTAGCTGAAAGTGAGATTGATTTGAAGCACTTGTTGCAAAAATCAAAGAGTAATGCCTTCAATATGGATTGTATCTCAGTGTCAAGAAAACAAAAATTCTTACACTGGACCATTAGGCAACATCATGATAAATGGAGAAAATATTGAAGTTGTCAAAGATTTTATCTTGAGTGGACCTACAGTTAACACTCGTGTTATCAGTAGGCAGGAAGTCAGGAGACATATTGCACTGGGCAAATCTGCAGTCAGGGACCTCTCCAAATTCTTGATAAGCAATAATGTCAGTTTGAGGACAAAGGTGCATATGATTCTGGCCATAGTCTTTGCAATCACTTGGTATGCATCTGAGAGCTAGACAATGGCTAAGGATGACAGAAGAAGAAATTATGCTTTTGAGCTGTGGTGTTGGAAAAAACTATTGAAAATACCATGGAATTCTGCCAAAAGAACAAACACGTATTTTTAGTGTTCCTTAGAGGAAAAGATGTTAAAGTTTTGTCTCACCTGCTTAAGGCATATTACTAGGAAAGGTCATTGCTTGGAGAGGGACATAATGCTTGGAAAGATGAAGGGATGGCAAAAGAAAAGAAGCCTCTTAAGTAGGTGGATTGACACAGTGACTGCTGCATTGGGTTCTAGTGTGTCAGAAAGTGTGAGGATGGTGGCACAAGAAAAGACAGAGCTCAGATCTGTTTTTTTATAGGGTCATTCTGGATTCTCAACTTGACATAACTTAACAACAACAACATCCAAGAGCTGGATAATAACTAAGGATGATAAAAAAAAGATCTATGCCTTTTTGTTGTGGTGCTGGAGAAAAGTGTCAGGCATGGACTGCCAGGAGAACAGGTCTGTCTTGGAGAGAGTGAAACCCTGCTGCTCGTTGGAGGCAAAGATTTTGAGGTTCTTCTATCTCCCATACTTTGGGAATGTGGCCACAAGGGACAAGTCCTTGGAAAGGGACCTAATGTTTTGAAGGTTGGAGGGACAACACAGGAGAAGAAGACCCAGGATGAGGTGGATTGACTCAGTGAATGGAAAAATAGGATTAGGTCTGTTGGAGATGAAGAGATTCATTCAGGATAGGGCAGGTTTCAGAGCTAGTGTACATAGGGTCACTATGAGTTGCAGGTGATTCTATGGCTCTCTCTCTCTCTCTCCCTGAATTCTGCCCTAAACCCTTGTTTTCTCATGCATCTCTAGTACTGTGATTGTATTTCTTGACTTTTAATTCTTCTGACACTAGGTCGCCTTTTTATATTCAAACAGGTTTTGGTTGGATGATAGATTTTACAAATATTATTTTGTTGAGCTTCTAGACTTTTGTTTAATCCTTTTATAGATTTTGTTCTCAGTAGTTGTAGAGCTATTTGTTAATAACATTATAACTTCATCCTTTCAAGGGTATTTTAAAAACTTTATTGTGAAATTCTAGGGGAACCTTTATTCTTAGGGTAGTTTAGCACAGGTACCTAAAAATGTTTCTTCCTGGAGCTCTGGTGGCCTAGTGGCAAGAGGCTGCATTGCAGTCCCAGAGTTTGTGGTTCAAATCCACCAGATGCTCTGCTGGAGAAGGAGGATCAATCTCCTCCTGTTTGATGGTACACACAAAAAAAAATTAGTAAATTTCAAATAAATGTTTCTTCCGGATATCCTTTGAGTGTCCTGCATCTAAATTGAGGTTTTCTATTCTTGTTTGAACTTTAATTTCTCCCAGCATTCTCTGAACTTTGGGGGTTGTTCAGCTAACAGTTTTCACTGGTTATTCTTTGCCTGGCCTCATGTCATTGTCACTTCTACTCCAGACTTTGTATTCTGCTTGTACTCTGCTTAGACTCAAAGGTAACTGTGTACATATTTCTGCAGCCATTTTTAGGTGAAGTTCCAGCCTCTTTGGTTTCCTAGAAAATTCCATATGCTTCTCTATCTGTGCAAAAGGAGCAGATAAAAAGTGGGAATGGCTGAGTCTGTCTTCTGCCTGCTTCACAAAAAGGAACTTACCCCATCAATAATATCCATAGTACCACACAAATAACTACAAGGTCAGACATACCACCTTACATGCTCATTCACCTATTTCTACCAATCATTGGGTCCAGTGTTTGTTGCAACTTAACTCACAAACTTTACTCACAGTAGTGAAGTTTATTAGGGAAATAGTGTTGGATGGTGATGATGGCAAAGAATATCCTACAATTCAAGTCCAGGTTTAGTCAAGCAGTCCAAAGCCAGATTAACAGCAAGAAAAAATTCCTCAATTAGTGAAAGTTCAGGTTTTGTTCTGCAGTACACATTCAAGAAGCCTCTGGTTTCTTCAATCATCCAGCACACTTTATCTTAGAGAACTTACAAGTCAGCTTTTCTTTCAGTCATCCAGTAAACAAAACCTTTTAGCTCTGGCCCCATCTCTTTAGTTCCTCTTATTACACCTTGCCAAAGTCATTTCACAGTCTCTCCACCATCATCGTCACTGGGTTTTTTAAAAAAAAAATTATTATTATTA